GGCGGCTGGAGACCAACCTCAGGTGTTCTCACCACCCGCCTTGTTTGAAGTAGCGCCTCGTGTTGGCTGCTGCAGAGGCCAGGCTGGCTGGTCCCCGGCGTCTGGAGAGCCCCTGCCCGTCTCCAAAGAGCGGTGGGGTCCAGACACCCACCACTGCGTCTGGCTTTTCCTGGTTCCAGGGGTTCAAATTGAGGGTCCCCCGCTTTGTGCAGGGACATCCTGACCTCCTGAGCTGCCTCCTCAGCCCTAGACAAAGCTTGCACAGTGACGACCTCACGTCTATCAGAAAATGTGAACACATCCTGAGGATCTCAAATCAACACTTTCCTGCACTCTGTTACCATAGTCAAGAGACTTCGAAGACCCCACATTCACGTGGACAGGACCAATAAGCAAATCCTTGCGACTGTTGGGATTGCTTGGCACCAAGATCGCATGTAGCTAATAGTAGGGGGGAAGTGAATGAGTCTCCCCAAACAAAATACACCAAAAAGCATAATGATATTCATGTTTGTCCCTATACAAAGATTAATCATCAGCCACAGAACGATGTAATTCTCTTGTTTTCTTTTTTGTTTTTGTTTTCCAAATAGGACATTTTTGTACCCCACCAGAATTTGAGCAGACAGACAAGGATGGGGCATGACTTTCTCAGCCCAGGCCAGGCCCCAGGCTGGACTAGCTACGTCCATTAGTTTAATCTAAAATACAGTCGAAAATTAATGCAATACACATTTTCTCCATCTACTTCAATTATTTTGAGGAAAGGTAAGGTGGATGGCTAGCAATAGAAACACCCCATCCTCAGCCATGTGTGGTCCTGGCCTCTTCCAACACAGACATGGATTAAGAACATAAAACAAGAGCTGGGCTCTGTGCCTCGTTTACCTCGCCAACACTTTCCACAGCAAGTCCTTTGCTGGGGACTCCATCGAGAAAATACATTTCTTTGCTCACATCTTCTCACTTTACCAACCTGACATTTTCCCATGTTTATCTTTAAAAGCAACAGTGTTGGGTCAGTCTGACATGCGTTTTAGACCATCATAACTTGACTTGGAGAATTGGTTTGAGAACTGATAATGCTAATGGCACTAATAATAATAATAATAATAATAATAATAATAATAACAATAATAACAATAAAACCCTGTCTACAAAACGGCCACAGTAGAAAAAGCAAACCTCTTATGTAACAGCCTTGATCAATGTGTTAGCTACTCCACAGAATATTCAATAGCACCCCCCAACACATGAACACACACACACACACACACACACACAGTCCCACACAACAAAGGCTGACAGACAGATAGTGTCTAGTAATGGGATTTGACAAGAGCCAGGCACTTTGGCCAGTCTCAATCAATGCTAATTGACAAGGAAGGGATTCAAAGGCAAATAGAAGTCCTTGAGCTCCATGGGGTGGGGACAGGGTCTCTGGCCGGAGGCCTTCTCCTTTCCCCCTTAACCCCTTATATTTAATTACATGTTTCAGCCTCCCACTGTACTCTGACTTGCTCTCAGGTGGCTTTGGCCTGATCCCATGTGTTAGTTCGAGATTTCCTTTGGAAGGAAGATGACTGTGCAGACACCTGTCTCCGGAGATAGGAAGTCCTCCGCTGTCAACTGGGTCTCAAATGCAGATTTCTTCCAGTAGTTACTTGTGCGTTTGCCCGTGCCTGCCTGTATGTGTGTGTGTTTCTATACATGAAGGTGTATGTGTGTGCAAGTGGGGGGATACTTGCATGTGTGTCTTTGACGGATGGGTGGCATTTTCAGGAATACCTCACTGAAGATGGGGGTCTCTCAGGGGCTTGGATCCCATCAAGTTAGACTGGCTGGCCAGCAAATCCCAGCCTTCTCAGCAAAGAGTAGAAGTGCAACCCAGCATACCCGGGATCTTTACATAGGTTCTGGGAATCTGTCTCACGTCCTTGGGCTTTAAAGGCAGAGGCTTTATCAACTGACTTATGCTCCAGTTCCCAACAGAGCAGAACACCAAAATATCAACAGGACAGGGGGAGAAATTCTTCTGGAACAACACAGCTGTATTTTTCACTGATGCGCTGTTATTTCTAAGACCAACTAATGCTCAAATTCTGAATCATTTAAGGTGCCTCCCGAAAGCAGACCATAACTAAGATGGGAAATTATCTGTTACTGAAAGACTTACTGGCATGGTAATCCCAGGAAGCACTGTTTGAGAATTGTGCACAAGATGCAAGGAAGAAAAATCAGCCTATAAACCTGGATGTCCAAACAAGGTTCTGCCACGGCAACTGCAGTGTCCCTCACTGAGGACCTCAAATCTGTCTACAACATGCCCAACTCTTTAGTCACTGCTTGAGGGCTGATTAAAAGGTGGAGATGGGAATGAACGCCCTAGCACTCAGCACCCAGGAAGTCCTCATGTAAGGACAGGGCACCAGCTACATGATGTGGCTGCTGAACTCCTGAACTTCCTGTAGCCAAGGTTACCTGCTCAAGACAGAGCCCTTAAGCTTGTCCTCATGGATCCAGCTCATGAAGCCACACCCCTCCCTGATGACAGCTGAGGGTCACTGAGGTGTGGGGTGTCATTTCCTCAGTGGTGTAGCCACTGACATGCCAACCATGCTCCTGTAAGTAACCCTTCATTCATCTAAAGGCAATCAATCCCAATTAAACTCAGTGGGACACACATACAGAGAGAGAGAGAGAGAGAGAGAGAGAGAGAAAGAGAGAGAGAGGTGCACTTGGAAGTAGAGGGTCTTGTTGGGAAGCAAGTTCAACATAAGAGGTTGGCCTAGAGAGGGCGATAGGGGGTGAACAATTAATATTCAATATATATATGTATGAAACTGTCAAAGAAGGGATGAAAAATAAATAGCTGCCGGGCCTGCTGGGAACAGCCCTGGGCTTGCTTGTTCTATCCCTATTACACCTCTCGTGAATCAGATGGGCTTGGCTCTGTGACAAATCCATGCCTCAGTTTCTTGAACATGAAACAGGGGCACCAACTTCACGCTGCCATTGTAAAGGTTAACTGACCCAGCGCTCCTGAAACATGTGGCCTGGCGGGCAGCATAACAGCACACTTATTAGCTCAGTGGGTCCTCAACCTTCCTAATGCTGTGAGCCTTTAGTATGGTTCCTCATGTTGCGGTGACAGCCAACCACAAAATTATTTTCATTGCTACTTCATAACTAATTCTGCTAATGTTATGAATCATAACGTAAATATTTTTTCAGGATAGAGGTTTACCAAAGAGGTTGTTATACAAGGTTGAGAACCAATATAGTAGCTTATTGCCACAGTTGATAGCACCATTATGACAATTTCAAGGTATAAAGGGGAGCTGGAGAGACAGCCCAGCCAAGGCTCATAACCTAACACTTTAAGAGTTCAGTTCCCAGCGCCTAAGGCAAAGCCTGTCTCTCCAACTTCACTTTGACTGTTTTGATGTAAAAAGTAGGCGATGTCTTCACATCCTAGGACAGTTATCTGTGTTACTGTAGGCAACCAGGGAAAACACTCACTACACCACAGACCAGGTAATCTTAGATCTTGCCATCATCTTTTGGCTCTCCCAAAATCTCAGGCATGATAATGGAGAGTGTTGAGCATGCTCAACCTTTCTCCCTACAGATGTGCCTAGTAGCCATTCCTGGGATGACTTCTCCATGGCAAAAGAGACTTCCTGGTCAGTGTTCAGAACAGAGGTTCTCGGCCTCCCTAATGCCGTGACCCTTTAATACAGGTCCTCATGTTGTGGTAAGCCCAAACCATAAATTATTTTCTTTGCTACCTCATAACTGTAATTTTGCTGTTTTGAATCACAATGTTAAATCTCTGATATGTGGGATATCTAATATGCAAACCCAAAGGGGTTGTGACCAACAGGTTGAGAACCACTCGTTTAGAAGGAGGCACTAACCTACCATAATCATGGCATGGACTTGGGTTGCAAATGGGAAGAGTAGTGTCCCAAATTGCTATGTATATAGTAAGTCCCCAAATTTCTATGTATAGACATATAATATATATTTTGTATATGACATGTGTTTGTGTGTCCCTGTGTGCAAGTGCACACGAGCACCTGATTTGGGTACACACATGCCACAGTACACACATGGAGGGAGAAGTCAGTCTCCATCTTCTACTTTGTTTGATGCAGCGTCTCTTGTCCACCTCGTTTGAGACCCTGTGACGCAGGATCTCTGTTTAGCTCTGCACATGCCAGCCTAGCTGCCATGACCTTCCAGGGAGTCCCTGTGACCACCTCCTCTCTCACTGTAGGAGTGCCGAGCTTACAGGGGCACTAGCCCATCTGTAAACGGCTTTTGGTGATTCAGACTCGGCTCTTACGCTTGTGCGGCAAGTTGTCTGCACACCCATTCTAAGTCCCTTTTTATGGAGAGAGTGTCATCTCCACAAGAGATAGAAGACACTGGGCCCATTGTATGGGGAGAAACTAAGGTCTCTGACTATGTGACCGATGCGGGAGCAGCAGTGTCTCATCTCCTGACTTATGTTGCAGGAATCTTCACTTCTCTTCTTAGTAACCTAAGCAAACAGGCCGATGCGGCTGCTTGGGGTCCTCCAGGCGTGCTGACTCAGTGTTCCCCATGAACAATGAACTAACCACTATTTATGGGTGTGGCCATCTGCATGGAGTTCAATAGATGGACGAGGCCGGCTGCCAGTGAGCCCTCGGGCTCCATCTGTCTGCCTCCCCGAGGCTGGGCTCACAAGCTCAGGCCACCATGTCCATTTGGAGATTTGGGTTTACTGTTGTTGTTTCTTGTGAGTTCCGAGGAGGAGAGTTAGGTCCTCACGTGTGAAGGGCAAACACCTTACTGAGTGAGCCATCTACCCCCTTAAGCCACTCCTGAAAGAGTGATGGAAAACTGAGAGCCCTGGCAGGTGAAACCTCTTGTAGGTCTCTACTGGACTTTCTGACAAAACTGCTGAAGACACACTTGGGCAGGAAACTGACAGAGACTTCATTGCTGAGTCAGCGAAGATACTTTATTGCAAGGCAGACAAAGTTACAGGACAGACACAGAAAGGTCCCCGCTGGCAAACCCCACTGTGGAAACATGCCTTTGCTTCACCTCTTCCCAGGTAGGCACCTCCACAGAGGCCTGAACGATGCAGCTGGTAAGGTCACTGATCGCCTGTTCCTATTTGACCTTAGAAAATGGAATTGCAAAACCACCCAAAATTGCCCAAAAGATTCAAAGTATCCGAAAGTCACTTTTGATATTTAAAACATTGTCTACTGTTCTATCTGCAGGATCAGAGGAGCCCTAAATCTCAAACTGTGAGGTGCGTGTTCCTTTGTAGTCCATCATTCACATCAAACGACTCACAGGAGCCCCAGGTGTGACACATGCCTGACTGTGTTTTAACTGCAGCAGGTGCCACAGTTGAAGAAGTCTTTGGTAGCTAAGCAACGTGGCTCCTACATGCCAGCACCTGAATCCAAACTTGAGGAAACAGATAGGACATGCATCTCTAACCTAAACACAAGGACTGTGCTAGTCCAACAACATAACCTCATTCACTACTTAGCTTGGGAGGAAACCTCTAAGGACAGATTCTGTTGCCATAGCAGAAAGGCCCATTAAAAGAAAACTATTTTCCTCATATCCAGAGAATGGCCTGGGAGGATACCCAACATTCCAGTTGGGCAGGTCGATCACCTGGTGGAGGGACCATCCCCGGATAAGGCCAGGCCACCTTAAGGCTTCTAAAGACATAAGAGGAATAATTGCCCCTCTAATGGGATAATGGGCTTTCCCTCTCCAGAATCCCCACGCTTGTGCAGCCCCACACAAGGCTGTACTGTAGCCATGACACTCTGAGATGCCCACCTTTCTGAAGGACCCAGAGAGGCACAGTTCTCCTTTCCCTTCCATCTCTTTCCTAAGCAGCTTTCTGGAAGAAGTGCTCTGGCCTTCACTCTTTCTTCTGAGCTGCCCTGACCATCATGTGGCTGCTTTCTGCCATATGGCTGACCTTCATGTTGGCTTAACTTAAGCTGTGAGGCTCCGTTCCCCTCTCCATCTTCTTCCTCTGGGCAGCTGCTGTGATTTACAGTTTCCCTTCTCCTGCTTTTTTTTTTTAAGGCTAATAATAAATGTCCTTGAACTTCTTTTGAGTCAGTTGCCATATTATTTTTATTAACAGGACTTAAGAACTCCAAGAGTAGACCTTGGATTCATCAGGTAATGTGTGGCAACTGGCAAGACCCTCCTAAATTCCCAGTAACGTGTTCATAAACAAGCCTAGTTTGGGAACAAAATTATACCTAGTAGAGCAATTCCTGGTTACAATTCCCTGAGCCAAGAAAAAAATACAGCTAGAAAGAGATGAGCTGGGGAGAGAGGGAGGAGAAAGAGAGAGAGAGAGAGAGACAGAGAGCAGTCTGACTCAGAACTGGGGTCCCAGGACTTCAGCCCACTCTAAGCACTTGATTCCATCCTGCGTGTGAGGACACCTTCATCACTGTGTCTCAGCAGCTTCCAGGAGACCTGAGAAGGTGGTCCATTGGCTTCCTTGCCAAGCAGTGGGCCTACGGGAGGACACACAGGGAAATGTCCGTCAGGAACAGGTGCAAACTATATGACAACTGGGGAGTCAGGGGGCAGAGGGCAGAGCAGATGGGTCCTCACCTCCTCCCGGCTCACTTCCTGCCTCCTCTTCAGAAGGGGGTTTGTGCTCTGGAACTGCCAGTGGTTTGGAATTTGGTGGCTTCTGCTGTGATCACGTTGGAGTCCGTCACCATGCAGGCCACACGCTCTCTGTTGATGAGAACATAGAACAGATGCTTGGGCATCAGCGGCCTATGGAATATGTTCTGTGTGGAATCATACACAACAGACACACACAGAGGAGGGATGGGAAGACAAGAGAAGAAAACTCAGTGGATACACTACCTGCCGCCTTTCCCTGGGATCCCAGGCAGTTGTGTCCTGGACTGGAGACTCGAGGTGATTTCTAGGGCCTCCCAGACGTCTCCAAGGTCTGAAGGGCCAGGAGACATCATTCCACTGCCACGTGGGCACCTGAACTCAGAACTCAGCTCCTTGACAACCTCGGCCAGCCTGGCCCCAACTCTCCTGAGTGGGTTCTGTCACTGAAATACTACACAATAGAGCAAAAGGCAATTGGAAATTAGCACAAGGTTCTCCATGGGCCCCTTGCCCTGGGGTAGCCACCAGGGAAAGGCTGGGCAGCTGGGGTGAAGGTGATCAACCTCAGGGGCAGACTTCTCGCTGGCAGACTCCATCCTAAAGTCACCTCATTATTCAGCTTCCCACCAAGCCCCCAAAGCCCTAAGCAGATCCCTTCCAGCCCAGGGCCCACTCCTTGATTCAGTCTGCTGCTGTTGGTTGGTTCTAGGGATCCTATGGAACAGGGAAGCAGTGTCTATCGCAGCTGGGCCTCTCACTTGGGGCAGAGGAATACCAAATTGGAGTGTGAGAGACACAGAGGCACATGGCTCTACCCATAACCTTCTTCCCCCTGAAACAAGTCATGGAAAGCCCAGCACTACCCTTTCACCCTTCACAGAATCCATGTCCCCATAACGTGGTAGTGGGCACAAGCTGAATCACCTCGGTTCAGATATTGAAACACGACCCAGAAGCACAGAGTTCGAGGCATCCAGAGAAACTCATCCACATGAACGCAGCTGCCAGTAGCACACCAAATGTGCAGGCTACTGAAGAACCTTCTGTGATGACAGAAATACCCTTGGCTATGTGATAGAATGCGCACTGGTCCCCACAGCCACGCACACCCTAAATGAAGCACAGCCCCAGCTAAGGAATAGGTTTTGAACTTCTATTTGAGCTAAAGAAATCATGTGGCTCTTGTGGCTATCATGTTTCAGGCTTATTCTGTCACCCTCTGGCCAGTTTTACTGTTGAAAATGACAAGCTTCTCGCTGGACAGGAAGTCATGGCTGAAGACAGAGGCAAAGGAGAAGGTGGGGCTCAGAATCTAGCACATGAGCAGAGGCTTTGGCACAAGGTGGCAAACCGGCCGCGCCTCAGCATACTTCTCAGGTCACCGTGGGTATCATGTCTACAGCAGATCGGACTGGGTGCTTCTCTCACACCCTGTCCAACGAAGCTGTACCACACGACGATGCAACATATGTGAACTCCTTGCTCTATGTGTCATAAGCAAGCAGGAGAAAGAGAAAAGAATATATATAAATGGGGTCAGAAACCTTTCACCCTGCCTCTCACTTGAAATGTGTGTCATGGAGTGGGCCATATGAGCAAAGGTATCAGATCTTTACATTTTAATCCTAAGGGCCTATCACAGCTTTAGTGTGTTTTTTTAAATGTTTATCTGAACGTGTGTGCATATGTTCATGTGCACAGGTACGTATGTGGGCAGGTGTGGGTGTGCACAACCAACCTCTGGTATAGCCACGGCTATTGGCAAAGACTGGCACACACAAGTCCTTGCAGTAGAGGACACAGGCCTTCTGTGGACATCCACGGACAACCGCATGGTATCCAGTGATAAAGAGCCTTTGGCAGTCCAGTTTCCCATCTGCCAGCTCTCTAGAGATGCTGTATCTGACACAATGGGAGAGAAGATCATACCTCATCCCTGTTGGAGGCACAGAGCACCCGCTCCCCAACTCTGTTGCCATCAGTCTCCTCTGGGTGCACTGGCCCCTGTCTGCCTCTTCCATCTACTTGGCTTGAAGGGAGGATGTGTGCTGTTGACCCGTGCCCTCCCTGATGACTCAAATGACTCCTGCCACTGGGCTTCACACCCACTGTGGAGTACCACCTGCACCTGTGTTATGAATCCATTTTGTACAATTTGAATTTTCCTCCAAGATGGAGAAGCATGCTTATAAAATTCAGAAAAAGGAACTTCCAAGGCTCAGGAAGTCCATAAAGTTACAAGGTTCACAAAACCTCTTTCCCAGGTTTTAAAAGCAAAGCAGTAAAAGGCTGTTGGGGACAGGGACCTCTGCCACAGGGATGCCTACAAGATGAGCAAGATGCTCCAGAGACACAGCTGCTGCCCAGGCTGGGATGGGCGCTTCAGCAGTATGGCTAGCCCCGGGTTGTCCATGCTCTTATAAACGACTCTTCAGCCATGTTCCTGTGAGTGACCTCATGGAATGCACTGCTGCAAGACTTGGGCAGAATCATCTGCTCTGTTGCTGGTGACCAGGCGCTTGTCATTCCCTCTCCAGGAAAAAGCCACACAACCTGACACATGCAGTAGCTAACTGGGCACCCAAACTTAAGGAAGCCAGCACAGCCTGCATCTTCACAGCCCACTCTGCCCCAGCCTTCAGTGGCCTCAGATGACACAGGCCTCATCTGCTCTGTACTGCTTCAGGAGTTTCCCTCTGAAGAATTATACAGGGAAGCCAACTGTTTCTGTCAGCTGCCGTAGCTGTGGGCCTCCACAGACAGTTGTTTCCTCAGAACTCAAATCTTCTACAGGCTTCAAAGCAGCATTTTCATCAATACATAAAGGTGCTGCGGAGGCCTTTGGCCTCCACCCAGATTCCCTGGGTCCTCTCAACGTACACCTATCTCTAAATGCTAAGGAAAACACCTTTTTGTAAGAGAGTTTTCTCCAGAGACTATCTTCTCTGGGCATGGCAGGCAGGAATATGCAAGTCCTTGATGAAGATAGGAGAGGAATTCTAATGCATAATGTTAAGGCAAATGCTCTTAAATGTTTCCCAGAACTGTCCCATGGGCTTGAAGTTGAGCTATTCATAGTGGTTCTTTCTCTCTCTTCCTCTGTGTGTGTCTGTGTGTGTGTGAGTACACATTTTGCCTATGTGCATGTAGCAGGTACTCATGTGTGTCCATGAAGAGACCAGAGGTAAATGTCAGCTGTCTTGCAATCACTCTTCATCTTATTTTTTGAGGCCAGATCTCTCTCTGAACCATCTGGATGGGTGGAACTGCCTCCTCAGTGCTGAGATTACAGTTGATACACCTATGTTTTTATATGTTCTGGGGATTGAATTTAGGTTTTTATGCTTGCACAGCAAGCTCCTTACTGCCTGCACCGTCTCCTCGGCCTTACCACCTTTCCTATCCTCCTTCTGGAGATTCTTAAGCTCCTTAAACATAGAACTTGCTTTCAAATCCTTGTCCCAAGTAACCTCTAGGGGAAGAAAACTGTTACAGTGGAAAGCTGTGTTTGTTTAACTGTAATCTCATCCATCGTTTCCAAATGCTTTATGTAGATAGATATGTATATATAAATAGACATTTCCAAATCATGTTAATTGGATTTATAAATATTACCTAAGTCCATCTGACCTTAGGGATTTAATGTGTTTTTCACATTTTTAATGTACTGGCTCTGTCGCTTCTGTAAGTTCCTGGGATGTCCCAAGGCCAGGAGTGTGTTACCTCTTTCTTCTAGAACTTTCCATGGTGTCTAGTGTGCCATGTGGCAGATGGGATATTTATTCAATTATGACCAATGGACAAGAGGCCACAGAGGTTAGGCTGATGGCCTCAGGCTATTGTAGATGGCACAGCTCTGAAGAGAAAGAGAAAAACACAGCTGTTTTTCAGTACTGTAAAGCATAAAATGTTCTGGAAGCCCAGAACCAAACCAGGGGCAGTGCCACGCTAGGATATAAGAAAGAGTCTCATTGGCAAAAGAGACAACTTCCTGAACAGACCACCAACAGCACAGGCTCTAAGAGCAACAATCAATAAATGCGACCTGATGAAACTGAGAAGCTTCTGTAAAGCAAAGGACACTGTCGTCAGAAAAAAATGACAGCCTACAGATTGGGAAAGGATATTCACCAACCCTACATCTGACAGAGGGCTAATATCCAGAATATATGAAGAACTCAAGAAGTTAAACACCAATAAACCAAGTAATTAAAAATGGGGTACAGAGCTAAACAGAGAATTCTCAATAGAGGAATGTCGAATGGCAGAGAAACCCGATGTTTTCATTCACACAGTTCACTCAAGAACTGCAAATCAACTCACACACACACCATAACACGTGCAGCAATCTCATACAGTTTTAGGTACGTTTATGACTGTGTGTTGGTCTGCACGCCTAGCTCTCCTCAGACACATGTGCAAAGGCAGTGGGTTGAACAAAGAACACACTCAGTTCCTGGTTTTGGTCACTGGAATATAAATTCCAAGTCAATTCACTCTCACCGTGCCCAGCTGAGGGCCAGAGTCTCCGTCAAAGGAGCTGATGTGCTCCAGGAGCAAAGACACATTACAATATTCCCATAGCAGTTCTGGCACCCTTGACAAGAGCTCCCAAGCAAGGCGGCCCCAGGGAGTCTCCTTAGATGGGGGACCTCTCCCAGTTATCTCCTACTTCCTTCTCTCCCACTGTGGCTTCCAACCCACTGTGGAAGGCGAGGGAAGCAAGCCCCGAGTGATGTCTCCTCAGACTATAAGCCCAGAATGTCTTCCATCTCCGTCCCCCTCATTTTCCTTCTTCGCTCCTTTGTCTTTTCAGAGACAAAGTCTCCTTAAATGGTCCAGACTGATTTTCCCACTTTTACCTCCCAAGTGTCTGAGACGGCACCCGTGCCACAGCATGGAAGGCTGTTAAGAGATCCCACCCTATCTCTTTAAACAGTCCTGGATCTCAATCCTTTCATCCATAAAAGGGAATGGCTTGATGCCTTGAGACCAGGCAGACATGGCACTCATCACCGGGGCTGTCGGTCACACGTCTCCTTTGCTGAAACCCAGGGAAAGTAAAGGTTGAATAACAAAACTGGCTCCAGTGAAATCCTCATACTGAGTTCCTACCAGTAAATTTCCAATCTTTCAGTCGTTCCAAAGCTGTGACCCAGAGGAACCAAGTTTCCAGGCAGAAAATGAGTGTAAACAGAGCTCACATCTGCCTGTGTGTGGCCTCCTCAGACACAAACAGATTACTCAACCAGGGCAAACACAAGAGGTGCCAGTGTCAACCTCAAGTGGTGACAGGGCCAATTAGGACTTGGCTTGCCTTCTAGAATCTGAAATGTCACTTGCGCTAGGGAACTGCTCTGTCTGTAAAAGCCTCAGAGAAAGAAGACACATTTTTGTGCCTTCATTCCCATAGATGTCCAGAGCAGGAAGCTGAGCGGGCAGCCTGCTTGC